CCAATGCTTACCTCCGAACCATGCGAATGGTAAGCGTCTAAACAAAATAATCCTAAAACACAACTTCACATGAATATACTTACTGAATAGATTTATCTAATCTTTCTCTTTTTGATTCTGTATTCAGGGAAAGAGAACAAAAGAGCCAAACGGCGCCGCATTCATCTCTGCTCTGGCAGCCGGCAACAACGCCCGGTTCACGGTGGTCGCTTGTGGTGGCCCGGCAGACTCCACCGCCCTGGCTCTGGCGGCAGCCGCCTACCAAACCGGCGGGCGCATTGTCTGCATACTCCCCGACCATCAAAATCTCCGAGCCTCCCACCTAGCTCTCGGCCCAAATGCCACCAATATCGAGTTCGTACATGGGGACGCCAAGGAGCTCTTATCAAGCCAGTACAAAGACTCGGACTTTGTGGCCGTCGACTGCAACCTTGAGAGCCACGAGGCCATCATAAGTGCCCTTCAGGAAAAAATCGAGCGCCATCATCACAACTGCATTGTGTTGGGGTATAATGCGTTTTGCAAGGAGACGTGGAGGAATAGCGATTTAAAGACTCAGCTTCTGCCGATAGGGGAAGGACTGCTGCTGACGAGAAGGAAGAGAAGCACGAGTAATTGGGTGGTGAGAGTGGATAAATGCACTGGAGAGGAGCATGTTTTCCGGGTGAGATCGTCTGTGGGGAGGTTCATCAGAGCTTGAGTGCAGATGGTGTACATGTACCGACTTTAGCACCACCGCGAGACACTTTCCAAAATGTAACTGTAAATAGTTATTACGGAAATCTCTAGTTTTAGTTCTTTTTTTGTGTGTTTGGATCTTTGTGGAACAGATTTTTAGTTGGTTCTTCTAAACTCGAAAGTCGAAACCATATATAGTTGATGTCACAGCTTAATAAAAAAAGTGTTAAAGCAGTTGAAGTTTACACAGAAAGTCCCACATCAGAAAAACACCAAACAAACTGAGTGTTTTTAATGAACAACTACAGCTTCTCAGGGCACGACCTTACTTGAACAGGATCTGTTCTATAGGCTCGTACCTCTTTATCCTTTAGATATAAAGAGACAATCATCACAGTCTGGTGGATGAGCTATGGCTGCCCGGCTAGAGCGTGATTAACAGACCCTCTGGGCTCGGTCGTGTGTCCATTGGGTCAGTAGAGGATCGTTCTTGGTTGGCTTCGGCGAGCCAAGATGGCCTGGCAGCTGTCTGACAGACTTTCCCCTCTTTTTATTTTTCAATTTTAATCTGGACAAATACTATATTTAAATTGTAAATATGTTTTCTTTATATTTCAGTCAAAAGATCAAAGATAGCAGCAATTGTAGAATTCTGAGTAATTCTTAAATCCTCTGAAACTGAAAAAAGTAAACCAGCTGAGCTTTATACCAAAGTGAAAGCTGGAAAAGTTCATAAACAGAGCACTGAATGCTCTGACAAATAATAAATAAACCATTCTAATAAAAATATGAGCTATTATTCATCAAAAGCATATATATCAAGGCCTGCAACACCTTAGTAATGATAATGCAAAATACAGACAGATATATCACACTCTCTTCTCATTGCAATGCCCATAAACAAACACTATCACAATTTCTAACTTCATTCAAACGTGTAAAAATCCAAAGGTTGTACTTCGTTCTAATCAAGCAAGATATGTTTTCACCGCACGAACCAATACGTTATTCACAACAGGTGAGTCATCAGTCAATCACTCATCACTAATAGCCTCTAAACAGTAATCATGATCCAAAAATCGTGTCGATAAAAAAACAACATAGAATATCCAATCGATTAAACGGAAGCCAAGAGCCGCCGCCTCATACAATCAAATCTTAAAGATACAAAAGAGGGTTCATTCAGAGAGTAGAAAACCCCCTCCATAAAAACAAACACCATCCCTACAAAGATACACCTACCAAGTCCTAATCATCTACCATCTACCTTAAAACCCTACACCTACCGCCAACAAACGAAAAATTGCAATTTTTTTTCCCAAAGGTCAACTTTTTTTTTTCACCAGTCGAGCTCCCCCAAAACTGTCCCCATCGAAGGCCTCTCCTCCGGGTGCTCGTGCGTACACATCAAAGCAACCTTAACAATTATCCGAGCCTCGCGCTCGCAAAACCTCCCACCGAGGTTCGGGTCCATCAGCCCGAGGGTGCACGACTCAGCATGGGCCCGCATTGCAGGTGAGTACTTGCGCTTCCCAGAAAGGACTTGGAAAACGAGGGCCCCGAACGCATATACATCACTCTTGTCTGTGAAGCGGCCGGTTGTGGTGTACTCAGGGGCAAGGTACCCCATGGCAGCGCTGGCCTTGAGGGATGAGAAGACTATATCGTTTGTGAGGAGCTTGTGGAGGCACGAGTCGGACAAGGATGGGGCCCATCTCTGGTTGAGGAGAATGTTCCTTGCAGATATGTTTTGGTGGACGAGAGGAGGTTTGTTCGGCCTGTGCCCGTGCAAGTACTCGATGCCTGCTCGACAGGTGAAGACAAAAAAAAGTTAGCATTGATGTGAAATTTGGTTTCATATGGAAATTCTTGTCAATTTTCGTGTTTTGGTTTCGTCTTTTCCAACCATTGTCACCCCTACAAATAATGCAGTAACTCTACTTTAGCGATGTTTCCATTCATATAAGTAGTAGTTCAAGAAAGTTATGTGAGAAGCCAAAAAAAAAAAAAAAACCATTATCAGACATGGATAGGCAGAAATAACTGACCTTTGGCAACACCTTTGATTACAGAAACTCTAGCAGACCACTCAAGAACACGTCCATCACCCTCCTCAAGATCCAAATACCCATACAAACTCCCATTCGAAAGGTAATCATAAACCAAGAAACACTCTCCACGCCCCCTCGAGCAGCAGAACCCTCTCAGCACAACCACATTCTCGTGCCCCAACGAGGTCAGCACAGTCAGCCCCTTCAGGAACTCAGCTTCCTCAGCCCTGCAGCTGCTCTTCGCCACCCTCTTCACGGCCACGGCCGAACCATCCCTCAGCGTCCCCTTATACGTCACCGCATAATTACTCCTCCCCAACATATTCTTCTCGGCAAAATACTGAGTAGCCGACTCCACCTCCTGCAGGTTCAGCCGGAAGTTCCGCATGGCATCCTGGGAGACCCCTCCAAAGCGCCGCCCCTCGGCCAGCGGGTCCCACCCGCTCGTGTATTCGAGGCTGACGAGGGGAGACCCATTTTTCCGGCAGTCATCATCCGTGCGGCTGAGGTGGCGGCTGCTGTCCAGGACGTCGAGGGAGCTACTTCCGAGCTTCTGCTGGCGCCTCCGATAATACACAATGGATGCAATGCCTAAGGTGGAGACTATGACGGCAACTAGGACTACTAGTCCAGCTGTCAGTGGGGCCCGTGAGGTTCGGGTCGTTTTCGAGCAGGGGCTTCGGGTGGTACAGTTCAGGTCAAGGTTGGCCGTTTCAGGTATGTTCTTGGATCCTCCTCCCGGGTACGGGTCGGGCCCCACTGAATTGGGCCGGTCGGATTCGCTGCAGCTTTTAAGGAACGAGAAGCCCGTCCCGCATAATCCTAGGTTGTTCTCGTACCGAAATCCGTCCACTAATCTCTTCAGAGCTGTCCAATGAGTAAACAATTAGGGTAAAAGGAAAAAAATAAAAGAAAAAAAAAAAGGTCTTTGAGTGCTGTAGGTTTTTGTTAGTTACCGAGGGGGACGTTGCCTGAGAGACTGTTGTTCCGAACATCGAGGATTTCGAGCAATGGGGCATCTGCTAATTTTGTCGGGATGGACCCGAAAAGGCGGTTAAAACTCAGATCCAGCCTCATTAGGACTCCCAAGCTCCCCAAGCTAGCAGGGATGGCACCGGCTAACAGATTTGACTGGAGAGCTAGCACGTTGAGCTTATTCAGATGACCGAGCTGTGTAGGTATACTGCCGGTCAGCTGGTTATAACACAGCTGCAGAACTATACGGGGGAAGGAGAACTTGAGTTACAAACTATTTCGGCACACGATAAAACAAGATGAGAATTCAAGAATTAGTTAAGAACTGAGAAAACTAACACTGGAAAGAAGGAAAAATAGAATATTTTGTATTTGAGTAACAGAAAAAACAACCAAAAATTTGAAACTTCTTGAACATTGTAAGCTATAAAAACAAGGGTTATTTAGTTCAAAGGTCTAATCTTTCGAGAAAAATTCCAAATGCAGAAAATTCTTGCAAATCTGTGCTAATTGTCACTGCTCTTGCAGTGATTCTTGCAATCTTAGAAGCCTCAAAGCGCCAACATCTACTAATTGGTCTCTATATCATGCATATCCGTAGCAAAAGAAAATCACACAGCAGAAGAAAAATAAAAAATAAATAAATAAAAAGCAAAACAAAACAGTGACAATAAGATGGGGACAAATTGTGGAAAATTCAAAAGGTGTTAATAAACCTTGCAAGCTCTGCATGCCCCCAAGCTCAGGCGGTATCTCGCCAGAAAAATTATTGACATTCAAGTAAAGATCACTCAGCTCGGTCAAGTTAGCAATCTCTACAGGTATTTCTCCGTACAGAGAATTGTAATGCAGGTACAGCCCCGTGAGATGCCTCAGCTGGCCGACCGCCGGTGAGAGTTTTCCGGCGAGCCCTTTTCCCTGCAGCGAGATGTTAGCCACCTGCCCTTTTTCATTGCAGGCCACCCCCTCAAACGTGCCTCCACATGGGTTGCCCGACCCGACCCATGAGCTCAAATGCCGGTTTTCCGGGTCAAGACCCGATTTTAAGTCCAGTAAAGAGGTTAGCTCGGAAAAGGGGTCCGCGGAGGAGAGTGCTGCCAGGAGAAAGGACAGAAAGAGGAAGGGAGAGAGAAAATCCATGGCGTTTTAAGAGAGTGGAAGTGAAGTAATGAGAAGAACAGAGGGTAAAAGAAGAAAGGATTTGTTTTCTTATTATATATGTAGTATAGCTTTTTTTCTACTTTTTAATTTTCCTTTAAAATAATAATTCAAGCTTTGATAGGCCTCTGTGTCTATATTGTTTTCTTGTTTTTTGGAAAACTGGGTTGGAATCTCGGTGCTGAGGCGTGCAGGAGGAGAGAGAAAGAGAAGGGGAGAGAGAAAATTATCACAATTTTGGAAAAACAGAGAAGAGAACACACGCAGAGTGTGTGTTAGTGTGTGGTTCTGCGCTGCATAACAAAATTTGTCCAAGAAGAAAGAAGAGAGTGGAAACATGTACTCCGCAAATAGACTGAAAAGCTAGTACTATTCAAAAAGTAAAAGCTTTGATTTTGATTGTGCTGCGATTCAAACACGTTGTTTTGCGGGCCTCTCATGGTCATGGGAGGGCGATGCTAGGAGACGGCTTCTTGGCCGTTGATTTGTTTCGTGTTACTATGGCTATGGGTTTTCAGTTTTCACAGATTATTGTGCAATATTGTTGGGCTTGGTTCTTGAATACACACTCTTTGAGCAAGTGGGTTCGGTTGAAACTTCAAAACAATTTTTTTTTTATTTGTTAAGATTCATGCTCGATTCGTTAAAATTGATAAATGAGTCGAGTTCAACTCAATTGCAGGCTAATTTAGATAGTGAGCCGAACTCGACTTGTTTATACCCTCGACAGTGTTTTTCAATTCAGATTGACCCGCGGGTGGACCCAGGGCTAGGACAGGGCCAGTGGGTGCGTTGGAACATGTGACAACAAACCCTGTTGAGATTGAATGAAGAAACAAAGGAAATCTGGAAAAGTAGA